ATATCATGTTTAAAAGCTCAGAAGGACACATTCCATAAGTTCAACATAGCTAAACATAGTAATAGCTCAGATCAATGTAAGGGGCAGGGCAATATAAGAAATATGCCCATATTTATTGATAGACGAGAAACCATTTTTTACACATTTTCAGCATCACTTATATTACTACTGTATAATAGGCTGATTAATAGGAGACAAGTATTACTTCAATTTTAAAATACATATAGATCAAATTGAATTATTTGTTCTATATTCTGGTTGCTTTTATTTTGCCTTTTGAAGCATCCTGTTACAGCAAATCATTTTCCTTTCCTACAACAAATAATTTGCTTTCCCAAAACAAGATCGTTTCCAGGGCTGGGCTAGGCCTAGGGCAGTGCTGGATCAGAGACTGGAGTTAAGCAGGGCCTGGCTACAATTAGGATACAAACTAGCAAACACTGTCAAGACAATGTGAGGACTAAGGCAGCGAGGCCAGATGACATTTAAGGCTGAGCAACTCTAGGGAATGACAAGCAATGTTTAGGTCTGGCAAGAGCATAATGCATGGGAGTTTGGGTTAGTTCTACCAACAAGCTTCAGGGGTAGAACAAGAAGCTCTGCTTCATATGTCCTATCAACTTATAAAGAAAATAGGAAGAAAACGCTCTGATCTTCCCAAGAAAATAATGAATTAAACAACTGAAATGCATTTTATGGTAATCTCAACAGCCTCCTTGTGGTTATTTAAAGCGTTGGACCCTAACTGACCTTTTCACTGGGACTTCCAGATGTCTCTTATTTCTTTCTTTACATTCTGATCCTGGGTAAATGTATAAGGGAACAGGATCAGAGTGAATAAGCTCAGGGAAGCTGCCACCTAACTGCTTGCTTGAGGTTGTAGTCCTTCAATAAAATGTGCTTTGGCATTTTTGCTTTGCCGTGTTATAGAGTTCCTACCCAAAAGGCAAGTCATAAGAGCAGAAATGTAACTTACTTAAAATAGAATTTTGTGTTTTGAAAACAGTCCTCCTCTTCCCCAGTCTCATTGTTCCACCCATATCTCCAGGATTGTGTTCTGGCATGTCAATAACCTGTAGAGAAAAATTGTTTAAACACTGTTCCATCCAAAGAAAAAAATATGCAACAATTGTCTAACAGGCTGCATAGATTTATAAACAGTAACGTGATTTATTTTCCCTCCAAGCACTGCCACTTGTGACTTCTCTTTGGTTTTCCTAATGCTTTGTTCTCAGTATTGGGACTGTAGCAGACTGAGGATATTAACTAACTGGTATGAAACTTTTTCATTTAATGTTAAGATCAGCAGAAGCAATTTATTAATTCCTTAATTTAATTTTTGAGGTGGAAAAAACCCTTTCTTTTAAAAAAGATTGCAAAATGTTAGCAACAGGATAATTCTGCCCAAAGCTATTCTTGGCGCTATAAAGTACATAGATTTTTAAAAACTGATAAACTTGTAGACGAAAAAAAAAATCTACCAAGTGATAAAGACGCCATCTCTGAAGAAGCGAGTCCCTGAACCACACAGTGACAGAGACTGCAAGATTATCCTGGTTAAATATTACTGTACACTAGGCCCCTTCTTATGCTGTTTTTTATAGACAATGTTCGTTCTTATGCTAAGAGGCAGACGCAGTTGTCTTATCAAGACAGTGCAAGTCCTCTTTTTTGGGAAGTGGGGAGAAGAGGAAGGCATGGAGCAGCAGAGTGAAGAGAAAAGAAGAGGGCACTTGTAACAAGACTATAATCTAATGTTGTAAAAGCAGAGTACTAAAAGAGGTGACTCCAACATGTGTGTGCTATTTCTGTAACTAATTTATCACAGGGAGAAAACAGAAAAACCTTCCCCCCTAATTCACCTTTACTAAAGTGTTTCTCAGATTGCTTGAGAATCCACAAAATACTGGGTTGCCTTGTATGAAGAATATACTAATTAACATAACATTCAAAGAAGACGATATACAAATACTGCTTTTGAGGACTGAAGTGGATGGGTCAAATGGCTGCTATGTGGGTCAAGTGGAATTCAGGATAGTGGGATTCAAGGGATGCGAGACGCAACAGCTTAGTGGAAGGAATGCGTTCAGTTCTGCTCAGTTTGAAAAATCCTGCTGGGTCTCACACTCATGTTTAGAGGAAGTCTGTCTCAGAGAGCTAAAACAGTTCAAAATTGTAGAAACACGTGAGCCGACCTGCGTGCTTGTATTCGCATACACAGTCAGTGAGGAATGTAATTGACAACGAAAGGTTCTAAAAATACAAATATTCACACATACAGGTAATCTGCAATTGCATTTTTATTAACCTTAATTTGCCCTCTGGGAGTAATGAAAACAATTTCTGGTGATACACTTCATAAAGTGAAGTTATTCAATTTAGAAGGGATGGTGGAAAGTGCTTAGCCTTTGGCCTTGTGCCAATGCATTTCAGCTGTGCAATTATCTCTGTATAACCTTATACCTTCAAAATGTTATTTATAAGCTATATACTCATTATAAAATGTCATGAGCAGAAGTTGTGATCAAACCAGTGGGATATTACAAATCCTCTAATTACCTACCAAATCATGAAGGCGAGGACTATGCAGCACATTCAGCTAACAAAAGCCCACAAACTCCCCCACCCAAAAAAAAAAATCATTCATTGAATCCTTATTACTTCAAAAAAGATGAGGTTGTCTGCTTTTACTTTATTTCCTTGTGTTTACTTTCACTTTTTTTTCTGAAGCAGTGGCCACAAAAAAACCACAGGACATCAGAAGTGGTTAGAATGTATACAGCAGACTGTGTATATATGTTAAACACTCTGACCCTCTGAAATCAAACACAAGTTTTCCATGAGGTGTTATTTACTTGCCTACACCCATACTACAGATAACCTTAAAGTTGTGCTCCTGACTCTTGTCAAATGGAGATGAAGTGGTAACAAGCAGCTATCAAGTACTTCAAGTATATGCTTCTCTTCCAATTACAAAAATTTCATTTTAACAGCTGTTTAATGAGTATTTGCCATTGACACGAAAAACAATGAGCGTTTTGTTTGTTTGAGTTTTTTTTTAAATTTGGAGGCTAAAGTCAAGATTAGACATTCCTTCATTCTCAAGTGTATCAAGCACCTAAATACTGTCCCCTAACCTCAGCTTTAAATTTTTCTTCCTAAAAATCTGGGGCAGGATGTTTTGGTCTAACTTTGCTAACTGAATCATGGTAATACCCAGATGTTTGGGGTTCCCTCCCTCCCCCAAAAAATTAGATTTCACTATTTTCACCTTTCAGTATTTGCTGTGCTAAGATATTCTCTCTATCAAAACATTTCAAGCGTAATGCTCGAATAAATGCTCGAATAAATAGAAGGAAGCATGGGGATACAACGAGTGGCATGGTAACTTCTTGAAGGACATTGCTCAGCTCTTAAACTCCTCAATTAAAACACTGGCTCCAAATGAAGTGGACCTGTCTATGCAGTCCATAGTAGATTTCACTAATTTACTGTGCTTACATGTGTTCTCCAGGAAGACTCAAAAACATCAGTTAGCAAATATATGGTCTCCTGTTCATTAAACAGAGCATAGCGGTTCAAGCAGGTTATGGCCACACTCGCAGCTCTTCCTTCTTTCATGAGGCAAAAACCAAACACTGGATGCTCATGAGTCCCAGTGACGCTCAGGGTGATAGCCTGGAACGAAGGCAGGCTGTGAAAGCACAGCTTCATCTGCTCTGCCGAGGGCTTCTGCCGCCCTTTGGGTCAGAACCCAAAATGGGGCTGCAAGCCCAACAAAAATTCCACTGGAGAAATGGTCTCGCCAGGAAGATTTGGGCATTTTTCCCCAACTAATCTTTGTCTTCTAAAAGGCCTGCTTCCTTCCCTCAGCAGTTACATTAGTGTGGGCAGGGGCACATATTTGGAAGAGGATCCAACTCTTGAAACTTTCACTAATGTCTGCTAAGTCTTAATTGAGGTGTCTTTTAAGAAACATTGCATGATACAACTGTTCAATCTTACTTCTATCTATGGCAGATTTTCTGCGAATATGACAGCTGTATTGAGTTTCAACATCAAGCAGCTTACTGTGTGTGTTCATGTTTTGTTATTGATATGTGCATTATAAACCAGCTCTCCATCTTCCCCAAGATTTTTAGGTTTATGATAGCAAGAAAATAGACAAGGCTTCAAGTATTAATTTTTGTAGTTAGGTGAGGAAAGGAGCTACTTGTGAAGTAATACCTCAGAGCTTTTTGATATGCTCTGTGGCTCTGATCCACTTCAGCAACTACCACAGCATGACCCTCAACGTTTACGTATTACATGAGTTTCTCCACAACAAAGTCTGTGCAAGCAGCTTCGAAAGCAAAGTGGCACTGCTGCCCTACAGCCCAAGGACAGTAATAAGCATCAGAAAAGCAATTTTGCCATATTTTACAGAATTTATTTGATCAGATAAAAGACGAACCTTCAAGTGGTGGTTATTTTGAACAACTATGCAACTGAATAGATTCTTCAAAGAGCTTATGCTTCCTGCCACAGAGTAAATCAGCTCTTACTATGCATTAGTTCTTTGAAGAGCGGAGAACAGCATAGAACAACAGGCACCGCAAGCAACAAAAAAGCTTCAGTAGGGAGGGTGCAAGAAGACATAAGACATTAATTAGGTCTTTCTTACCCAAATCTCTGAAAACTGCCAACACTACAGGGATTTTACAGAGATCACTTATTACACACCAGACAGCCAACATGAAATAAATAGTGAATCACTCTGACATAACACAAAGCACATTCTAGATATAAAACAGTCTGATCAGTATTAAATCATGCTACTGATGAACAGTGACTTTAACTACTCAAGAACTGCGATCTTCTTTCAGAAATCTACATCTTTGGATCGTTTCGTTGTTGTAAATAAGGAAACATATAAAAGCTAATGAGAAAACCTCTCAAGCCCGGACAATCAACACAGAGCAACCAAGGCCCTGAAAACCCAACACCTATCGTTTCAGTAATCACCCCAGGACCATTAAGTTGTTTTTGTATTGCCTCACATCCTGCAATGCCATCTAGAGAAATACCTTGGTTACTGTGGGGGGCGGGAGGGGGTCTATTTGGGTTTCGTTTGGGGGGTTGGGCTTTTTTGGTGGGGGGGAAGGCAAGGAGGGAGGGAGGAAGGGAGGGAAGCATTACTTGGTTTGAACAACTCATTGGTGTATCAGCTTTGGAAGCAGGTTTTTAGGTTTTTTGCCTTTTTACTCTGCCCTTGTCCCGTGAGCAAATGATTTGTCACTCCTGAAAGAAATTGCTATACATGTAAGCGCTGATCAAAGTATCAGGAGAAGCCCCGACCCTAAAGATTAATCAAGCACTGATAAGAGGCTCTAAGACACTCAGCACAGAAGAGATGTGCAGAGGGAAAGCTGACAGGAGCAGGGAATACAGTGACAGGTACTGATGAATATTAATCCCTGCTG